TTTCATTCTGTGCAAGTCTTGACTTAGCTGAGCTGTTTAGAAGAGCTTTAAGCCTATTATCTCATTTCTGTAGTATCTCACCAAACTTGATTTTCCGTGTATAAATAGATGAATGTAACCTTCTCTGTCTTAGATAGCCCAGTGTATAATTGAGAAATCTTTCTTGGATTTACAAGGCACATATGTTGGGCAACAACCAAACTCAAACAACAAAACTAAAATGTATTACAATAGGAGTCAAGAAAAACATTAAATTTGATAAATTTTTGCTTTACCTGATTTTGTAGTTGGTCCTTTAATTGAATATTTCTGCCAAAATGCGATCTAAGAAAAAGATAAAATTTCCACATTACTCCATTTTTTATCATTTCATTTGGTTCCAATGACCTAGACTAGGGGTGGTAAACTCATGTGCCACATGCAGTTCATTCAAGCTGGAGGGCATGACTCACTCTAATTAAAGCACTACCTAGGATAAATTATTGTAGAGGGAATTAAAAAAAAAAAGTACTAACACCCACCACCGTCTCTGCCATCCCTCTAACTGGTGAAGCGATTACGGTCAGTCCCAGCTTTCTGCTACTGTGTCCTGCTATTCTTCCTTCACCTGACTGGAGCCCTTCTCAGGCATAAGGGAAAATTACTGCATTAGAAAGCAGGTGAAAGTACCAAAGGTAGAAGTTAAGGCTGTGGGGCCATTGCCATGTTTGAAAAGGAGTCTGAATTCTATGCTAAGTGAGCCCTCAGTTTGTTTCGGGAGATTTTATTGAAAGGTATTTATTGATTTGGGAAGACATTCCTGAGACAATTTAAGTTCAGCGTTACTTGAGAGAACAGAAGTAGATTTTAAGGAACCATGATAAATGGAGAAAATGGGCTTGTGAAAAACAGAATAAAATCCGAACAGGCACAAACACAAAGTATGTACTTTGTTTTCCCTCTTTAATAGATGTGGCAAATACTTGTATAGAATGGGAGGCTGGACACAATTATAGAAGAATCAAGAAATAGGTTCCATTACCACCTGCATTCGAAGGACACCTGGAAAGGTTCTTATTGACCAAAGAGTGAAATGGGACTCTTAAAAAAGGGAAAAATTATTTAATCTATTAATACTAAAGTAAAGAATTTGGATCACTTAACATTTTTTAAGAATATGCCAGTTTATAACAGGCACAGCGCTATCTGTTTTGTACCTTATCAAGATTAACAGATAGCATTTAATTTTCTTTTCAGGGAGAACTTCTAAAAATTTTTTCCTTATATTATACCGACAGACCAAACAATAAACTCCTGAATACAGGGGCTATGTATTTGTATCCTCACTGTAGCAGAGTACTTGGCACATAGTAGATTGTAAGTAAATACTTGAAATATAAATATGGGTACTCAAAAAAGGGTAAAGTCACCAAAGGAGAAATTGCTCAGAGTCATAAATGATTGAAGCCTGAGTTAGAGCACTAACTCAAATAATATCTTAAAGTTTAATTCACTCTGCATCATGATTATTTTAAATATAATAAACATTAAACATACAAAATCACAACATAGTCAACAATTTGCTAATTACTATAAATCTAGTGAATTAAGTATAAAGCCAAGTCTAAATAGGTTAATTAGCATTTTAAGGAAGTAGAAACAGATGCACACCCTTGAGTTTGTTTAAAGCATAAAAATCTCTAATAACTGAAAGTTCCACTTTCCTAAGGACAATTTAATAAGTTTCCAGGAAATCAATATAAACAACCAAATTACCGTTTTATCTTCATCCACAAAAATTTCTCTGGCTTCTTCATAATTACAAAGTTCTTCATTGCACTCTCTTTCTACATCACCAGGAGTGAAGAGCTCCAAATCAAATCTATTATATAGGAGGCGTCTATGTATGAAAAAGTTTGCTTCTTCTTTTGATGTAAAGACTAATAAAGAAATGAAAAAGATTTCAAACATTGATAAAAATAAGGCACAAAATTCCTGTTTTAATTATGGAAAAAGTGAATAGTCCTCTTGATATGGTTAAATTATACCAAACTTTCTTATATGGCTTTAAAATCTGACCAAATAATATCTGTAAAGATAATTTCTGATAAATACGAAATACAAATATTAGCATAATTCTAGAAAATACTTGAGTTGATTATGGCCAAAACTAGTAGCCTAAATGAAAATTATTTGAATATCAGTTTTCCTTCCAATTGTTTTTCCAATAAATGGGGGGTCAGACTATT